TAATATTATTTTTTTATCTTTTTGGTTTTGTTTTGTTTGTTCAAGTCATTGACAGACCAACCATTGGCTTTTGTGTTAGAAAACTTTTAAGGTGACGTGCTAGTGTCCTCCACAGGGCTGTATCCGCCCATGGGCACCCCCACGTCAGAACAGCCTCACCACTCCCTATTTGGAGGAGCCTCAGGGGGGGCCTCACAGCCTCACCACTTGTCCCCCCACCACCTCCACCCTACTCATGGAGGTAGGCGGACAGCAACCCTTGCATGATGTTGACTCAGTCAGCTGATCTCTTTGGATCAGTTTGTGTAGAAAGGGGACATAGAATGGGTGGGGAGGGGCTGTGTCTGAACAACGTTTGACTGAGGAAAAAATTTCTTTGCATGGCATATCAAGATTTTGAAAAAGAGAGCTTGCTGTTCACTGGAGGTTTCTTTTCTACTTATTTGGCTTTGTGTATTGCTCTGTTGGTATGCCAGAACTTGCTGTCTGTTGTTGCATGCTCCATCCTCTTAATTTCAAGGTGTCTGCTCAACTCTTTTTAACCTATTCACATATCTCTTCAACTGATATGTACTCTGTATGTCCATGAGAGATCTTACCTATATTATAGTCTGTTGAAGAATCCTATAGATTCCTGTCTTTAGCTTTAGAATTTTCAGGAGCTGTACTTTACTTTCAGGTTCCATCTTATCAGAATACTTCTATGACCTGTGAAGTGTTGCTGCTGTATCTGTTGTATTATTGTTTCCTGTACTTCTCTGTCTGAATTTAGATGATTATACACTTTTTAAGTACATTATCCAATAATCCTTAAGGTACAAAATACAGCAGTCGTTGTTCTTGGGTGTGTGTGCACACTGGACAGTACATGGCAGGTTCTCCCAAGAGGTTTATAGACAATTATATTATGAACATCCATATTGGAATGACCTGAGCTAAAATAATTGTGCATAGAAAAAATACATCCTCTTTTGTGCACACATGAAGCTGTAGACTTTTGGGATTAAAATGCATTAGAGTGTCAATATAAAGTAATTGGATTTTGTAAGAAAAGATCAAGATATGGATTTAAAACAAAGAAAAAGAAAAGAAAAAAATTGTTTTTTATGTAAAGGACCATGATACATGGACAGAGTTTAAGATTGTTCCAGTTTTTTAGTTATTGCTTCTGATCTTCAGTTTGTGGATCATAAATTTGGGGGTTTGCAGAATTACATACTTTTCAATTTGGGTTGTTTTTTGTAATTTGTTTGAATGATTTATAAATGTATCTGACTTTTCTTGCAGTCCATATGATAAGATTATAGTTATTGTTATGCGATTTCACAAAGAGAGGTGCTTAATTTTTCAAGCGAGTAAGTGATATATTATATGCAGCAGAAATAAAGTGTGATACAGGAATGGCTTCTATTTCATTTTTTTTTTTCCAGGTTCTGGCCAGCATCACGGAAAATACTGAAGGCAGATAGTTAGAATAGAGTCATCTAATGAAGAGAACCTCGCATATGGCAGATCTAATACCTGAATGTACAACACCAGTCTGACACAGATCATGTACAAATGTTTCAAACTGGAAATTTCAAGCGATGGTAAAAATTTAATTACGAGAATGTCAAAATTATAAGGTTGAGTTGATTTCAGTCTATAGTGGATAAGCTCAGATAACAAAATTATTTATACATAAACACAAGAAATATAGCTTATAGATTACCCTGATATCAAGATAAATGCTTGTCAATCCTACTCTTTGTTGATATTATGTCTTTAGATGAAAATAAGTTGTTGAAGTATGAATGTGTTAGCTAGTATTAAATTAATCAGTGCAAGTGTTTTGATATTTGCTGACAATGGCAGTAAATACAAGCCGGTATTTAAAACAGTTAATCAAACACAAACACAGATGGAAACACACAAAACTAAAATGACAAGAACCGTAAATACATTAAATACAAACACACACACAAACACAAACAAACACATTCTACAAGTAAACTGTACAGACAAGGCACTGTCTCTCATTTATATGATGGTGACAACTTCCATTATATCAAGCATATCAGACAAGCCACTGGTAGTGCGTGAAGAGCTGAACTATTTACACAAGACCAGGGTTAACTGTTATCAGGGAACAGCTATTTCTATCTACATGATCAACACCACTGGTTAGTGATATTCACCCATTGTTATAAATGACTTGAGAAATGGCACTCACATTACGTGGTGTGGTAATTTTTCAGAGGAGATGTTCGTTTAGCAGTACGCCTTTTCGGTCTGGTATATAATTTATTTATTTGATTTATTTTCAGACTATTGACATAAGGATTAACATTTGATGTATTGAAGTACAGTTATTGAAATTGTTTAAAGGTCTAAGCACAGGACAATATTCTTTGATTTTTTTTTCTTAAAATTTTTTTTATTGGAAGACGTATTATGCATATACTTGCAGATATTTATAAAGAACGTAATGAGTTCAAGTAATTTCTGATACAGATATTCC